AATACACACTATTACACAAATACAGAACAGTTTACAAACAATGCCACTGTCGGTCGCCACTGTGCAGCGCCCTGTTTCTTTTTTTCTTTTTTTTTAAATTTTAAATTTGTTTTCATGAATCTTCTTCCAATAGGACACAAAGCATATGATGAAGGAACTGCGGCCTATCAAGCTATTGTGAAAGAGTTTGGCCAGAAAGTAGTGGATGAAGATGGGAAGATTAACAGAAAACAACTTGGGGCTATTGTTTTTGCTGACAGGGTAAGTCTTGGTTCTGATTTTGAGGCTGAGTAGAGTTGACAAAGTAAAGTAAGTGCCATGTTGGTAATTGCTCTTGACAAGTTAATGAATACTCGTGATATTTTTCAGGGTCAGTAATCTATTTTTCTGTGTCTTCAATTTGCAAATTGTACATTTCCAAATTTAAAACAAAGGACGGCATGTAACTCGTACCTCAATAATCCTAATATTCCTGTTTATTTATGTTTTCTTTTTTTATAGAGTATTAACCTGGAAAGTTTTAACTATTAGTCCCTTTAACTATGAATAGCTTAAAATGTCAGGGATGTATCACTCTCTTTTATATCTGGATTATTTACAACAACAGTGCAACTTTAAAGTCTCTTGTTTAAACACACAATTTGAAACTTTCTAAGATGTGCTCATACATTCAAGATTTATCACAACCCTATTGCAGTGGTTTTACAAAAGTAGACATGCCTTAATGCAAGTCTCTTTGCACAGTGTATTCAAAGGTACTTTACGTTTATTATTTTTTTTCTCTCTCTTTCTTTTCTAATTCTGTCTCACAAGTTTCTGAGCCTTCCTGTTTTACTAAAAGTACAACATTTACGTGTTTGTGATATTCTTTATCCTTGCAGGCAAATTTGGACAAACTGAACAGTATAGTCTGGCCTGCCATTCGTCAACTTGCGGAGGAAGCTATTGCTCAACACAAAGCAGGTCAGCTTTATTATAATGCTAATGTTGTGTAGAGGTAGTGATTGCTAAAAAATTTGAGGGTAACTAGGAAGGAGAACAGAAATGCAGCATCTCAGAGATTCCATGAGTCACCCTGACAATATTATATATCTATGGTATGTCTGATTCCTTCTGAAGTGCTTTGGAATCATTTGATTCATGGGGGGTTAACCACAAACTTGTATCAAAGACAAGGTTCAGTTCTGCAGTTATTCCTTTAGACATGTGATAAAAAAAATATTTTAAATTGTGATGCTTCTGTCTTATCCTTTTGTATATGTTTCTGTGACAATTCTGTCTCATATTCTGGAATTTTGTTTTGTGTGTTCTCAGTATTTCCATAGTACTTATTCTATATTCCATATGTGATTTCAGATACTATTTTCTAAATGTTCTTTTACTTTTGGTTTACATATTTTGTGCTCTTTCACAACTTTCAGCTGCTTGCATGTATCTTGTCTTTTTCAGTGTTCTTTTCACCAGTTTTTTTGTCTATCACAGTTATTTTTTGTTCTGCAGCTGTCAGAGATTTGCATGTATCTGATCTAAATGGGCTGTCTTTTTGAAATATTTACTTCATGGTCTTTTGATAGCTGGAATGCATGTATTCTTTATAATTTGTAAAAATGGTAAATTGCTCAATTTTTTAAAAAACAGCTGGTGTGCCTATCGTTGTGTTGGAAGCTGCCGTATTGTTTGAGGCTGGTTGGGATGACATGGTGCATGAGGTGTGGACGGCTTTCATACCAAGACCTGAGGTGTGTATTGTTTTTTTTGTCGAGACAGTGATTTTTGTTATGGAATTTTAAATTTTAACTTGCTTTTACTTTCTTTTGGTGGTAGTTTTTATATATTGGGTATTCCAATAAACGGCAAGATTCTATCAGATTCTATAAGTTGCTGCTTGTGATTGTAGGATTTTTTACATAATTTTTTTTACTGTTGAGCCTACTAGTCTCTAACTTGTGCAACCCCCACCTCTTTAACTGCCCTGCACTTTGTGACCTGCGTAGCACCTACCTACCTGCCTCCCCAGACATCGGAAACACTCTATACAGCGACAAAGCACAGCTGATTAAAACCTGTCAATTCTTTGCCATATCGACAGACCGAAGGGCTAGAACCCAAATGGCCGCTGGATCGGAAAAGTAAAGTAAAGTAAAGTAACTTGTGCAACCACTCATTCCTCCGTACTGGGTTCCTTCTCCAGGTTTTTGTCCTCTTTTATTGTCTAAACTACATTGAAAACTGAAACTGAAAATTTGTATGACTTTAATAAGTTTTTCTTATGTTGGGAGATGAGATGAAACACTCGCAATGTTACTTAGCTACTGTGTTGTCTAAAACCTAAGATATAGCAGAATGTTAATACTCAGCCCAGACAGCACGGTATGAAGATACAGCAGACATTTTGAGTGCAGAAACATATCAGCAACTCTCTGTCCTTGGTTAACTCATGACGCAAACAAGATGAAATTGGCCAATGTAGCAAGAGGAACACAGTTGCTGGATTGGGGTGGACTTATTAGAATATACTGTATAGGTATGAGTCACCTAAAGTTTTGTGTAATTTTGTTATTAAAGAGAAGTACTTAGCACCAAAATACGGTCAGCGATTTGGGCAAAAAGTGTAGAGCAGAGAGAGAGAGTGAGAGAGAAAGAGAGACCTTTTCATCCAACATGAATGTCTGTGTACTAGTGTTGAGTTCACCCAGCAACTATTTTCATTTATGAATAAACAAGAGCTTGTTTCTGATGTCCGCAAATAAGCAAACAAATAAAAATGAATTGCTCGCTGTATCTAACAGCGGGTAGGGCAGAAGTTGATTGGTTTACCATAAAGATTCATTCTTCACTGGGTTTTTTTTGCTGTTCATTTGTGATGTCATGAAGGAGCTAAACAGCTGAGCTGATGATGCTAGGCCTAGCTTTGACTTCACGACCGGTTCAGCTCACTGGCTTGTTCATGATGCCTCAATGCAGTTCCTATTAATTCTATCATCCCTGGTGTCCGATGTCCGTGCCCCACATACTTATTTCCCGATCTTCTGTTTCTAATTTTTCCGATTTAAAAGTTACTCTGGCTTTGCCTTCACAGGCTGTGAACAGAATAAAAGATCGAAACCAGCTGAGTCAAGAGGAAGCTGAACAGAGAATTGACTCCCAAATTTCCAATGAAGTGAGGATAGCTCAATCCAATGTTGTCATCTGTCCCCTGTGGGCAAAGGAAATAACACGTAAACAGGTAATAAGTATGTCTCCCTTGTGGGTAAGGGTTGTAAATAAATCCATTGCACAACAGAAGGAGATGTGAACCCCCACGGGGAAACAAAGAAAATGAAGTTCTACCTATGCATGTCTTCTTTTAGGCAGCATTTCCTTTTTGGAGTAAAGCCTTCGTGACAATCCATCTGAAAGCAGTTTGTTCCAGTACCATGCAATTGTGACTCTTGTTTCCAGTTGTTCTATGATGTTTTGGCTTCATCTTCTGTTGAAATGTCTGATGACACATGTTCCAGGGTCTTTTCTAAAATGTCCTTTTCCAAACTGTCATTCCTCATTTTGTGACCATAGAATTTAATTCTTCTGTTTCTTATTGTCAGATGTGAAGCCAGTTTGCTTTTAGTTCTTTTTTTTCCCCCCAGAAATAAAACGTTGGTTCTCTTTGGAGTCCATGGCACTTAGATATCCATGAATTATGTCCAAGTCATTGTTTAAACTGGCGCTTCTGTCGCACACCCAGGAACAGATACAAGCAAAGACTTCAGTATTAAACAGCCTATCAGAGTCTGTTGGATGGAGGATCCACCCCGGAAAGTCAAAGGTACTAAGGACAGATGCACAACGAAAGGAGCAGGTCACAATAAAAGGAAAGGCCCTAGAAAACGTTGAATCCTTCTGTTATCTTGGGAGCATAATTGACAGAGAGGGAGGAACAGGTGCTGAAATAAAGTCCCGCATTGGAAAAGCACAGGCTGCTTTCATATCTTTGGATAGGATTTGGAAGACCAGAGAGATCTCACTTCGAACAAAGCTGAGGATTTTCAATTCAAACGTGAAGTCGGTCCTGTTGTATGGATGTGAGGCATGGAACGCATCGCAGACTTGTATAAAGAGAATCCAGGTTTTCTTGAACAGGTGTCTAAGAAAGTTACTGAGGATCAGATGGACAGACAGGGTCACCAATGTGGAAGTGTTAAGGAAAACAAGACAGATCCCAGTCAGAGATGAGGTAGGAAGAAGGCAGTGGCGATGGATTGGACATACTCTCAGGAAATCAGGCAGCTGCATAACAAAGAAAGTTTTGGATTGGAACCCACAGGGCAAGAGATCAAGGGGAAGACCTCGTGGAACTTGGAGAAGAATCACAGAAATCGATGTACAGAAAAGTGGGAAGACATGGAATAACATCAAGAGGCTAGCCCAGGATAGAGAAAAGTGGGGGGTGTTTGTCCGTGGCCTATACCCTGGTGCAGGGTGAGAAAGGCAATGATGATGATGATGATTGTTTAAACCCTGTCTTTTGTCCTTCATTCTTTCTTCTTGCTCTTTGATTATTGTAGACACCTGTATGTGTCTGGCATTATTCCTAAATGAAACCTAGCAAGCTAGGATGAACTGAAGGAATTGTTTATCAATAATTTCTTTCCTTTTATTTCAGCAATTTCTTTCAGTCTTGCTTCTTACTTTTTACTTTTACAAAATACGTTAAACTGTAAGATTTATTTCTACGGGTTTCATTGAACTTATGAAAACCAAAGTGCTGTAAAATGGAATTGCAGGTATTTGGTAGTTCTTACGTCTTTTCTTTGTGTCTTTTGTTTCCGTCAGTAACTCAGTCTTGCTTTTTTTCACAGCACTATTTAACAGGTATTGTGTCAGTCTACTTCTCTTCAGTAGAAAAAATACATCTTTATCTATTGCAATTGCTTCCGCTCCGACAACTTTAAATTCTGGACCAGAGGGAGGGATTATGGATGAAGACAGACAGACACTGATATAACTGATTTACAGTGTCTAAAATAAGTATGTTGCTCTGTTTCAGATTCAGAAAGCTTGGTCACTTCTACAGAAAAGGATCAGTACACCACCTGTAAACAAGCTGTAGAAATTGACAGTTCTTTCCGCAAAATGAAGGGGTTGGTGTTTTTTTTCTAAATCCTGTGATATGCTGATGTGTTGAGAATTTGTATAATCGATTGTGTGCCTGTTTTTACAAGATAGAGCATTTACCTGATTATGGAGTAATGCTGAAACATGAGGTCTGAGAGTCTAATGTCAAAATAGATTTTCGAAATTAACTGAGGATGATATGCAAGATAAGAACACATGAGGAATATGAATGACAAGGTCCTTGTTTCATCTTTGAGAATAAGAACAGTGCAGCTATTTTCTTTTCTTTAGAGCTGTTATTTAATTTCAGGATTCAGTTGATTGAAAGTGAGTGATTTGTTTCATTTCCACTTGCACTTTTGAAGTTAAGGATTTTTATTTTTCTTTGTATATGCCTTTTACTTATATTCAGATAGTATAAACAATATTTGGATTTTATTTTCATTGTATTGTATTTGGAGGGTTGATGTATGGGTGTATGTTTGGAGGAGAGATTTTATCGCCTTATCACCTGTCATTTCAGTGAAATCAGTCGACCTAAGTTTGTTGTTAAGCCCTTGTTCAAAATGAATAAACCGGTCTCCAATTGATTTTGTTCCTCAGTACTTAACTGTTATATGAGGGAAATACTAGTCCAACGTTTTGTTGACGTTCTGCCCATAACAGATTTAATTACATGCTTGAAAAGACATATAGCTCTGTCACAAACACAAAATTAATACAGAGCCCTGTCTGATTTGGTCTTTCAAAGAATGACGTTGAACTTTTTCATTACTGATTGATTGTGGAAGTGATCATGACATTTGAAGTGTTGTGACTTTCTCCTGAGATAGAAAGGTACTTTAGCTTTGCCAAAATACTCTTTTTGAAAGAATAATTGGGCATAATATTCAATTCTTAAGAAGCCTTTAAATTCTTGGCCGCATTATGTTCATTGTTTTACGCTTAAGGCTAACTGCTAGTTATAACTGTTGTTTACTATTTGAGATACATATACAGAATTTTGTTCATGTTTTAGTCTTTTCATGTAATAGATGCTTGTAAAAGATTAGTTATGTTAAAACCTTTGCAACTTTTTGGTGACCAGCAAGACTTTGTTCAACTTTGATGTATCCATATAGATGAAATTCATATCACTTCATTTGTTCTGTAACATACATTGATTACTTGCGTTTTATTCAAATACCTTTTCAGTCATTGAAGAGCAGAGATTTACAATAATATGCTCCTCCAGAATAATTTCAGATGTTGGGAACTTTGTTTATCACTAATACTTTTCTTAGCTCTATATGATTCAACTGCTAATGACTTTTACTGCAATAGAGAAAATAGAGAAATCATGTTGTTTTGTTTTGTTGTTGTTGGGTGTTTTTTTTTAAAGAAAATTGGATGAAAGTCTATTATGTTACTGGGATTCGAGAAGTTCTTAAAAAGAATAGCATTAAAAGAATTATTTTTTTACTTCTTTTTAAGGACTGGGCTGGTTTTTTTCTCTGGCTAGCAGGGGTATTTTTGTTGCATCTCACATGATAGTGTGCCATATTCCATTATAATTTTTTGAAAAGGAGTTTATAATCATATTGTACTGATAGCTGTTTGTTTACTAATGCTGCCTTGTTAATGCCTGTGTAGTTTATATCTATAAGGTTCAAGTTTTTTATTTGAAAAGAAATAACATGTACCAGTAGCATTTTACTGCCATGCAGAAAAGACGGAGACTGATTCTTAGATACTTTGGAAGTATTTTTCAGAACAAATATTATTTGTACTTTTGCTTATTCACACTTCGTACATTTTGAATGCCGTCTTGCTTTTATCATAGACATTTTCGGATTTTACCTTTCTTTATCCTTTTTTATTTGGTATTATGCATACAGAGAAAACAGAACAGGGCCATTATTATTGGTCATATATTAAGAAACAATGAATGTTCTTTCCTTTATTTCTTTTGCCAGTGAAAAAAAAAATTGTTCAGTCCATTTAACTATTTATGTACTAGGTGATCTGCCCCTCTAATGTGAACATTCTGGATTTTTCTTTAAGATTTATCCGTACCTCTAGATGGTTTGAGCAAATTTTCCCATAAGAGATAGGGGGAGAGTGGATCAGAGCGTATTCTTCTGTGTTGAATTGTACATAATTATTGTAAGGAATGGACACACACACACACACACACACACACACACACACACACACACACACACACACACACACACACACACAAACTGTTTAAATACACCCCATCTATTTTGAATATTGCCTCTGAAAACTTAAAATTATATTTTTGTCACTGTTGAAGATTTAGTTTCAAATTAATTACACTGGATGTCAAAGAATTTGAGTTCAGAATATTGACTATGAATTAAAGTATCCTTCATTATGGTCTTGAGTAACTTACTCAGCATTCACAAAAATATCAGACTTGTCTATATTTTGCTTAGGTGTCATGGCTTGGCTTGGATTTTCTAGACATGTATCAGTTCACTTGTGCATCCAGCTAGGAAAAGTAGACATGGCAGTCCGACCTGTGCGTCTGTGTCCCTCTTTTTATGCACAACATAAATCTCAAGTTTAATGAAACTGAAAATTAATTTGATGTTGTCATACATGTATGTTACCATTCACTTGTTGCAATGATATTCCTATGCAATACTCTATCAGTATTCAGTCTGAAATAACTTACAGAGATAGAATTTTTGAATAATAAAGTCCATCTTTAAGCCAGTGACTGCTGTGTTTTTGTTTTGCTCTTGATGGTGACTGCTGCATAAAAGTGGATAGCTGCTAAAATGTACTTGGCCAAGAAAGAAGAATTTTTCAGGAGAGAAAAATAATTGTTTCCTTCTTTTAACAATCACACGTGCTTTATGTATCTTTTCCTGCCGTTTGCAATGTTAAGAATTTGAGTTTTGAGAAAATATTTTTTGTGCACATGCGACCGATGCCACAGATTATCCCTATCCGTACGCCCTGGGGTCATTTTGTACCCCCAGGGTTGTATTCTTCACATTTTAGAATACTTTTAGTATGAAGATCTCTGCAAAGCGTACAGATCAGATCGCATTAGTGAGTAAATTTCCTCTTTGGAAGTGGTGGCACAGAGTTCCCCTGGTCGTGTGGATACGATAGTAAAACACGACGTATGGATAAGGTTAAGAAACTGCAATTTAAAACCTGTCCAAATGTTGGGCTGAGTACATCAGAATAGCTGACCGATGATAAGTACAGTAAACCACGGAAAGGAAGACTCGAAATCACGCTTCCATCGAACTATGTGTGAGGTCCATTTTTTTTTCTTCTTTATCTTTGTAAGATATCCCTCAAACGACGGATTCCTCGAACTACCGAGGCCGGTGCTGATGAATTCGAGCTATCCGTGGTATACTGCATTTGTATGTTGTTGTCTCAGTATGATTTTTTTGCCTCTTATTTTTATTGTTCTAGTTTTGTGCTCTAGTACGCCACTAGCAGATGATCTTTATGGACTGTGGTGTAGTTTGAATCCTTCACGTGATATCCCTGTTCTTGGGAATTGTGAGCTGTTTCAGGTTTTTTAAAAAGTTTTCATAGAGGTTTTACAGCGCTCACAACTGCATAAGGTCATATGAGCGCCAAAGGGTGAATGTCGACTGAGAAGTCCTTACAGGGAATCAGACTTACTCTGCTCACCTCTCTAGCTTCAACAGCACAAAGTCTGCTTCGACTATCAAGGCACCCCGGAAATAGCGGGTCACAAGAGTGTGACGAACATACAAAAGAAGTAGAGGGAAAAAAAGGAAGATAGTGAGGATTAGGAAAGAAAAAGCAGCAGATATGAGCATAACATTAATGAATCAGCCCATTTACAATTACAATTCCACTGTGCCTAAGAACTCGAGATGTTTATGTCCCCCCCCCCCCCTTTTGAGAATGGCCTGAAGATACTTCAGTCAGTAGCATCACCCCGGGGGGCAGTTCAGGTTTTGTAACCCCTCGGAATCCTGGACCAGAGTACAAGCTCGGAGATGGAGCACTCTGTCTTAATGAGTCAATATCAACCACTGCAAAATGAAGGGCAATTTCCCCTTGGAGGAACGGGTGGTCGAAGGTCCTACAGTCCTACCTTTTTACTTTCCCTCTGTTGTTTCTGTCTGTCCGTCTTGCTTTGTCCCAGCACTAAATTATGACCGTTACTGTGTCAATGATCAATGTTCTCTTTAATCAAACAGCAACCAAAACCTTATGGAGAAGTTGATGAGAACCCCCTGTCCGTCTAAGAAATAGACGTGGGTGGTTGGCGGGTGCTCTTGTGTGGTTTGCTTCTTCTTTCCTATCAAACATCTATCGTCCTTATCTCCCCTCCTTTTTTATGTTTGTTACTCTCTTTTAACACCTCTAATCTTCTAGCACTCTATGACCTTATGCAGTTGCGAGCGCTGTAAAACCTCTACTAAAACAAAAAAAGAAAATAAGAAATAGACCGAAGTAGAGCACCCAAGCACCATGACATGGATATAAAAAATTAAAATAGAAATGTTTTGTCTATTATAATAAAGTGGAAAAATATCAAGAAGCAAGCCAGAACATGGAAAGTTGGAAAATGTTTGTTCGTAGTCTGTGCCCTGAAGCAGGGTGGGAAATGCAGTGATGGTGAATGTAATTAAATGACTTTGGCTGTTACTGTAACATGTTCAGGAGATGCCGCCTGTCATGAGACAATATTTTGTTTGCTCAGCCAGGGATGCAGTATATAATAATATTATGTTGTTGTTTTTTTTACTCACTATTTCTGTTATTTTCAGTGAAACCTGTTTTCTGTAAGCCTCATCTCTGCACTTCCGTTACCGAAGCGTCCATTTGTTTCTGTTTAATTACATATTAGATGCATCCTTTATATATGTTTTTGTTTGCAAAAGAAACTTAATAAATTTCTCAGTTCTTTAGTGGGTGGTTGGCGGGTGCTCTGGTGTGGTTTGCTTCTTCTTTCCTGTCAAACGTCTATCGTCTTTATCTCCCCTCCTTTTTTATGTTTGTTACTCTCTTGTAACACCTTTAATCTTCGGCACTTATATAACCTTATTATGTTGCAAGTGCCGTTAATTAAACTCATACTAAAACTCAGTTCTTTAAATGAAATCCCTGTGGCATCCCATCTTTAGCCCAGGCAGCTGGGACAGTTAGGCCGATGTCTGAGATATAATGGTTTGGTTCTTCTCTTGCACACAGAGAACTATTTTATCCAAAGTGTTCTAAACTGAAGAGTTCACTTTGGCTTTGGACAAAATAGTTTTGAGGCGACTGAATGTCTCCGTCTGTCAACTGAGATACTGTATCGGACTGGCCGTGGGTTGACCAAGAGATAGGGGTCAGTGAGTGGTTGGCGAGTGCTCTGGTGTGGTTTGCTCCTTCTTTCCTATCAAACATCTGTCGTCCTTATCCCCCCTCTTTCTTTTTTGTGTAGAATGTTACTCTCTTGTAACACATAATCTAATCTTCGGCACTTATATGACCTTTGTTTTCAAGTGCCGTAAAACTCTTACTAAAACTAAAAAAAGAAAGGGTCAGTGGGTGGCTGGTGTGAGCTGTAGCGTGGTTTGCTCCTTTTCTGTCAAACATCTATCGTCCTCACCTCTCCTCCTTGTTTTGTATTTGTTACTCTCTTGTAACACTTCTAATTTTTGGCACTTTTATGACCTTATTGTGTTGCAAGTGCTGTAAAATTCTTACTAAAAAATAAACGTAAAGAGTCGAAACAGCCAAACCTTCAAAACGGTCAAGTTTGTGTCAGTTGGAGCGTAAAACAATCTTGTTTATCAGATGTGTTCATTATTTTATTCCTTTGAATCCAGATATGATGTAAAAATAAATCTAACATAATTTATGTTACATTCTGCTGCTCATCGGCCATTTGTACTCTGCAACGTCTGACAAAATGGGAGCAAATGACGAAAAAGAAGTAATTCAAACAGTAGTCGGACCAACCTCCACTTTTTTCAAACATGGACTAGGGCTGAAGAACACATGCTCAAAGGCTACTGAATGAACAACAGCAATAACAACAACGGAAACAATAACAACACCAACACAAACACCAAGAACGAAATAGCAACAGCAACAACAACGAAAACAATAACAACAACAACTGTAACAATAACAACACCAACACAAACACCAAGAACGAAATAGCAACAGCAACAACAACGAAAACAATAACAACAACAACTGTAACAACAACAACACCAACACAAACACCAAGAACGAAATAGCAACAGCAACAACAACACCAACACAAACATCACCAACACAGCAACAACAACAACACACAGTGATGTGACAGGCATCGTGGCGCTTCAATAGAAATCAAGACAGCAGCAGACGTAATGGCAGCAGCGACAATGTATTTTTGTACAGAAGTTGTTGTAACCACGCAAACATAATATAAACAATGGAATTATGAATTATTCATGGCACTCTTTGACATTGCATCAAAAGGAAAGCTAATCGCAGAAGGGAAAGTAATTTTTAAAAACCCTGCTGAGTAGTAAGTTTCTGTTTCGCATCTGCGTGATCTGTTTTTCCTAATAGTAATAAGCCTACTAACAGCCTAGTGTATTATGATATATCTATGGTTATTTGATTTTTGCCAAACGCAAATGTAGCCTTTAAAATGTTTATCCAATTAACCATATTTTGTTAAAGCAGACAATCATAATCATACCACTTTAAGAAAGGGAAAGAAGCTGCTATAAGCAACAAATTGTGGAGTTGTAACCGTTGCACTTTGCTTGCTATTATTTCCTTTATATTTTTTCTCTTTACTATGCTAGCTACCCAATTCGTGATTTTCTATTATTACTGTAATCATAACAAAAATAATGGCGTTACCGTCGAGAGCTAGATGAAGGAGGTAGATATTTTGATTCATTTTGAGGTTGGTAAAATGAAACATTAGCTTCCGAATCTGTAAGCATGAAGACTAAAGTTACGA